CTCTCTCTGTGTGAGTGAGTGTGTGTGTGTGTGTGTGTGTGTGTGTGTGTGTAAGTACCTGGTAAAAATCTGGTAGTATCTGTCATCTTTGATGCCGTCCTCCAGCGGGACGTTCACGGCGTACCAACGACCTTTACCCAGCCCTGTGTCGCACAGGTCGCCCGTACCTACATACAAACACACTTATCTTAAACTGTCTCACAAACGCGAGCTATCACGTCAAATGTCGTATCTTAAACACGTGCAAGCGTCGACCTGGGAAGAATCCAGGAGAGAACTTGTGCAGAGAAACGGTCATGACTTTGGATGTGAAGCTGAAGGCATCTTCCACACCTGCAGTGAGAGGAGGAAGACAAAAAGGCCTAACTGAGTGCATGATGATGATCTTTTTTTTTTTAATTATAACTGGATTTCAGCCTGATAATAAATATGATCAACAAACAAAAGATGGTTATTCCTAATTAAACCTTGTCTGCGAGTCAAAAATCCCTCTAAAAACAGAAACAACATTAGTGTGTTTGAGTGTGTCACCGTCTCCGTGATGCAGGTCAACGTCCACATAGAGGACTCTCTCGTATTTCTCCCTCAGTCGGAGGATTCCCAACACGGCGTCGTTCACGTAGCAGAACCCAGACGCCTCATCCCTGGGAGACAGAGAAAGGGGGGAAACAAAACTGTGAGGTCTGACAGTCTGACCTTTGCCTGGAGCGCCCCCGTCAGGCCCATCAGCCGAACTGACGGGAACAGCCGGAGGAGCCTTAACTTGATTGAACTCGGTGGTATCTAATGTCCGGAGGATGTAAGATTTCATGCTTCAAAAAGTGACTTCAAATCGTATTCCACGTATTCTGATATCACTATCACAGAGAAATGGGGATAATTCCTTGTATTTGTCTGCTCATGAAACTTTCTGTGTGAACAGGTTGACTTACTTCTTGGCATGGTGCCACCCCCCCGCCCAGTTGATGGCCACGTCACACTTTTGGTCCAGGAGACACTGGGCTGCTGTCAGTGTAGCGCCCCCTACTGCTGCCGCGTAGTCAAATATCCCCTCCACCACTGGGCAGTCGTAACCTGGAGGGAGAGACACACAAAGAAAACTGACTGAAACACAATAATAATGTTATATATAGTAGATAATTAATAAGTGGTGATGACAGGACAGGTTATTTACTATTTACTATAAATAAACAGGAACCTTTTGACAAATAAAACTCCGGCAGCACTAGTGGCAAATATATTTATTCCTTCTTGTTTTCTGTGAAACATCTTTAACTTTGATTCCAATCGTTTCTGCACTTTTACATAGAAGAAGTTAGTAAGAAAAACTGATGAAAATAATCAGGACGTACAGGAAGAAATCAGATAAAGAAAGGAGAAATGGAAGAGGAAGAGGAAGGGAGGAATGAGGGAGGAGAAGGGGAACGTGATCGATGGGAAACAACGGAGCGCGGCGTTAAAACAAACCGAAGGGACGAAGGAGAGAGAGGCGGCAGGAAAAGGCGGAGCGGTTTGCTTTTGTGGCGAGACGGAAGGATGAACCAGAGAGAGGTGTGCAGAACGACAAAGGGAGGAAGTAACGGAGCGACGAGTCGACGACATGGAGGAGCAGAAAGGGTGGATGAGGGTGAATGAAAGAAGGGAGGGAGACAAGATAGGGAGGGAGTGAAAGGATATGAAAACAAGGAGGGGGAACTTGACCATTAGTCTGGAGACGGGTGGACGTACAGGGTCGAATCACGGTTGGCTCTTCATCCAAACGATGCGTAAAGGACTGCAACGTTGTTATCTTTTCATTTAGGGCTTTAGGAAAGAAAGGTACTCCTTTTTTAAACTACATTTGAGACTAAAAGCTGTGTTACTCTTTTGTAATCTTGTGTTATAGTGCCCTCTGCTGCCGATGAACAAGTACTGCATACAGCTGCTGAAGGAGTCTTCTCCACCCGGCCGATAAACACATTTTATTCTGATTATCGGTCCAATTCTTTGTCGGCTCCCTCATTGATTCCTCATCGATCTTCTGTGGAAAGAAGTCGGCCTACACAGGTTACATCAACACAACTGTTTTATTTTCTAAATCCACGTTTGGAACCGGTTTTTCTTTTCCCTACCTCCTTTTCCACTTGAATCCCTCTATTTTCCATATTATGCTGTAATGAACATTGGC